TCACGTCTGTACAGTAGAACACAGAAGAAGAAAGTTCAACACTCTTCAGCAATAAAAAAAGAAGAAGAAATGTTAGTTTATCTTGTGTAATTTCTGCTTATTAGTATGGTTGGATCATCGAAGGTCAGCAGCAAATTGGTTAACAAAATGGGATTAAATGCACAAAGGATATTTGTATTATTTAACATATTTAATTATTGCAGCTTTGAGCCATATTCTGAGTTGCTTTTAACTGTTTTTATTAATTTTGAGGAAAACTAAATCTTAAAAAAAAAATTTTTTTGTGAGTGAGTGAGTGAGATGAATCAATGCATGTTCACATTTATTCTAGAACTAACGCATATTTGAAATGAAACAAGTTACAAGTTTAAATTATAAATCATATCATTTTTATAGCATTTTTCTGGAACACAAACTAAATTTAAACGCTAAATTATAGAATTTTATATAGTACTTTTCTGGAACAAAAACTAAATTTAAACAGTAAATTATATAATTTTATATAGTACTTTTCTGAAACAAAAACTAAAACAAAGACTAATCAAATTAAAGGTGACTTGACTTGACTTGACACTGGTTAATAAAATGGGATAAAATACATAAATGATATTTCTCTTATTTAACATATTTAATTATTGCAGCTTTGAGCCATATTCTGAGTTGCTTTTAACTGTTTTTATTAATTTTGAGGAAAACTAAATCTTAAAAAAAAAATTTTTTTGTTAGTGAGTGAGTGAGATGAATCAATGCATGTTCACATTTATTCTAGAACTAAAGTAACATCTTACTCCCGATTTCTCTCAACATGGGGACAGGAGAGCTTTCAATCAATAAATGGGAAAAAAAAAGTAACTCGCGTTACTTATTTGAAAAAGTAACTTTCAACTTTTTAACTTTTTAATTAAAAAGTAATGCGTTACTTTACTAGTTACTTGATTTTATAATATTTTTCTGGCACAAAAAAACTAATTTGGGCATCAAAACTGAATATATGAATTTAAATGATCAATTATATAATTTCTATAGCATTTTTCTGAAAAAAAACTGATGTGGGCATCAAAATTAAGCAGATTTAAATGATAAAATATATATTTTTTATAGTATTTTTCTGGAACAAAAACAAAATTGGGCATCAAAGTCGAACATAAATTTAAATGATGAATTATATAATTTTTATAGCATTTTTCTTGAACAAAAACTAAAACAAAGACTAATCATGAAATATTTTGATGATTTTTGATGAAATATAATGAAATAAGCAGTGTTGTGGAAAGTTACTTTTAAAAGTAATGCATTACAATATTGCGTTACTCCATAAAAAAGTAACTAATTACGTTACTTAGTTACTTTTTATGGACAGTAATGCGTTATGTTTCTTTTTAAATCTGGACAGGGCTTGCTTGTTTGTTTTTAAAATAAAAAAGTTCTATTTTTGGCAAATATAAAAGCCTTTTCACACCAAAAGTGAAATGAATAAGCCTCAGGCTGAAGGAAATGTAAATTTAGGTCCTTACAGTAGAATGCAGAAGAAGAAATTTCAACACACTTCAGCAATAAACAAAGATGTTTGTCTAGAGTAATTTTTGCTTATTAGTATGGTTGAACTGGATCATCGAAGGTCAGAAGCAAAGACATTGTTTAATAGAATGGGATTAAATACATAAAGGATATTTGTGTTGTTTAACATTTAATTATTGCATATTCTGAGTTGCATTATTTTTATTCATTTTGAGGAATACTGAATCTGTGTTTGTTTTTTTTGTGTGAGTGAGATGAATTAATGCATATTCATATTTATTTTGGAACTACAGTAACATCTTCTGATTTCTCTCAACATGGGGACAGGAGAGCTTTCAATCAATAAATGGGAAAAAAAAAGTAACTCGCGTTACTTATTTGAAAAAGTAACTTTCAACTTTTTAATTAATTAATTAAAAAGTAATGCGTTACTTTACTAGTTACTTGAAAAAAGTAATCTGATTACGTAACTCGCGTTACCCCCAACACTGCTCGTCATGACTGCTAATGCAACTCTATCTTTACTATGCAAAGGCTACATGAATGCAAGAAAGAAAAGACCAATCATATTTCAGTATGCAAATACTGTGATGACATCATCACCGCTTGTAAAAACAGACTGAAATGAGTCTTTAAGTCACGTGGCTCAGGCTGATTCTCACCCGGACGAATGGCTGAGACGGGAATGATGCGATGGCCGATGAACTTGCCGCCCTCTTCGTACACGGCTATCCTGAGGGACGCCAGCGTGGGCAACACCACCTGACCCGGAAACAACACCGTTATTGATTTCACGCGCTCCGAGCGTCTGACGGACGCTTACAGGACACCGAAAACAGCCGTACTTTTTTAAAGACGATGGGCTCCTCGTCCCACACAGGGTTGATGGCGTTGCTCTGGGACGTCTTTGTCTTGAAAGCTTTTCGTCTCGTGTCAACGGGGGAACAAAAACAAAATTGGGCATCAAAGTCGAACATAAATTTAAATTATGAATTATATAATTTTTATAGCATTTTTCTTGAACAAACTAAATTGTAATTATAAATTATTTAATTTGTTGGTATTATTCTTTTAAATAATAGTCAAATTATATAATTGTTTAGTATTTTTCTGGAACAAAAACCAATTTAGGCATCAAAATTGAACAAATTTAAATGATATATTATTTTTTTGGTATTTCTTGGAACAAAAACTGATTTGGGCATCAAAATTGAACAGTTCATAAGTTTAAATGAAAAATGTAATTTTTATAGTATCTTTCTTGAACAAAAACTAATTTGGACATCAAACATAATTGAGCATCATTTTAAATGATACATTATATAATGTGTATAATATTTTTTGGAACAAAAAAAAAAAGGGCATCAAAATTTAACAAATGTATACTAAATATAACAAATAAAATAAAAAAAACGTGGAAGTACATTAAATTGCAATTACTGATTGCTTTGCAATAACACATTGCAAATGAGCTTCCTGGAGCTAAAGGCTTTGACAAGTGAGAAATGTCGAGCTGTATGATACGTCTAACCTTCACTGATAAGGTGTTGGCTACGATGCCGTCCACAGTGCTTTCTGTGAAGGGGTCGAAGTGCTTGTCCGGTCGTCTCATGAACTCTGGTTTGAGTCTGTAGCCGCTCTTGCCGTTGTACTCGTACATGCCGAGGTTCAGCTGCATGGACAGATCTGAGAGAGAGACGAGTAAAAACAACAGCTGTAAAGTCAGATTACAGTGGACATTTCATATTACAGTTAAGTCATATTTTCATAAGCCTTTCCCAAAGCATCTTCATTATTCATGGTCTCACCGATGGTCTGAAAGTTGAGTGCGACGAGCTGACAGCCGGCGTTCCAGAAGACCTGCGGCATGTAGTTGGAGGAATCCACACGCGTTCCTTTAGGATAAATCCTGCTCAGCTGAAACTTGTTGTATCTACATGCACACGGTTAAGGGAGCGTCATAATGAACATCACAGAGAAATCAATAAATCATTCACCTCCATCACAACCAGGACATACATGTGTGATCATCACCAGAACATCACCTGACAACAAAAAAAAAAAAAAAAAAAAAATCCAATTAATCAATGATTTATCCTAGTGTTGTTACTGTTGACTAAAACTAAAGCTATTAATATCATTTTTGGTAATTGAAAAATAAAATAAAATACTAAAAAAAAAAAAGATGACAAACTTTGAAAAATTTAAAATTAACTAGAAATTTGAAAGAAAAGGGAATGACATGAGAAATCTAAATATAAAAAAATAAAAATATTATTATTTTTTTATATTTACTTTAAATTATATAATGTATTTAGAATGTATTTGTAAAATTTAAAATATAAATTATCATATTTTCTGTAAAAGATGGCCAACAAAATTGAAGATATACATTTAAAATATATATTATATAATTTTTATAGTGTTTTCTGCAACAAAAACTAATTTGGGCATCATAATTGAACATAAATTAAATAAAAAATTATATAATTTTTATAGTATTTTTCAGGAATAAAAATGAAGTTGTCCATCAAAATGGAATAATTAAATGATAAATTATATTATTTGTGTAGTATTTTTTCTGGAACAAAATCTAATTTGGGCATCAAAATTGAATATATAAATTTAAATTACAAATTCTATCATGCTTATAGTATTTTTCTGCAACAAAAAAAACTATTTGGGAATCAAAATTGAACACCTAAATTTAAATTATAAATTATATAATTTTATATAATTTTTTCCAGGGGTGGGGGGAACCTGGGCATCAAAATGGAATATACACATTTAAATTATATATATATATATATATATATATGGCATCATTGTTTTTCACAGTATAGTAATGAGAATTTGGGGTGAAAATGTAATTAACTGTCATAAAAAAGCTATAAAATAAACAAATGCCGTTCTGTGTCATTGACGTCAAACTTGGCGCAAAACATCTTAATGTGTCACATCCGAATATGTGCATGTGAGAATGAGATTTGAGAGCACAGTTTTAGTGAATAACAACTTCTATCTCAGTCCATTCTTCATACTAACTATTAAATAGCTTCTAAAGACTTGAGCATGAGTCAGATGCACTACTGTCTGAAATCTTCCTGACAGATTTCATTATTCAGGTCATAAGTTCTGGCATCAATAATAGATGCGCTTGTCCTGGTTTGCCGTCAGTGTCCGGTCAGATGTGTGGGCTGTGTTTTGAAGGATGCTCGACGAACTCCACCGGCGTCTTGGTGAGATGCTCCAGTGCTTTGGTCTCCACGAACGACGACATCTGATAACTGCGTTTGCTTTCTGAGAGCAGACAAATCTACTTTTAATGAGATCTTCATATCAGCCAAGACTCCATCATGTGTATGCAGTCACACTTACTCTTGGAAATCTCAAACGAGTGGAACTTGGTGGGCTGGATGTAGTTGACCAGCGTGGACATTTCTTCAGTGGCAAAGGCTTCACATCCTGCTGTACCCTGAAAAAACACCACAAAACATCAGCGAGAGATCTTTTTCTGAAGGTTAAGCTCCTGCTTTGATCATTTGTTGTGAAACTTTGTATTTTTTAAGCCTTATTTTGTCATCAAACTGATAAAAAGTATACAAGAGTTACAATATTTTATTTACAAGCAGACAGAGTAATTAGCTTCTGCTGATAACCTCAACATGACCAATTAATCAGTTTCAAAAACTAATAAATATAAATATTAGATGAAAAACTGAAACCTAAAAAACTATAAATGAATTAGTAATTAGAAAAAGAAGAAAAAAAAACAGATTAAAAACCCTAGAAATTAGAAAGTAAAATGACTAAAACTAAAACAAAAATAAAGCTATATAGAAATATTTTAATCAACAACAAAAAAAGTTGAAATTATTTTAGTTAGTTGCCAAGGCAACATTTATAAGTTTAATTGGAAAGTGCTAAAATTACTAAAACTAAAACTGAAATAAAAATAAATTAAAGCTATATATAAATATTAAATTAAAAATGAAAAAAAAAAAAAAACCATAAATTAGAAATGTTGCACTGGTAATTAACTGAAATTAAAAAGTTAAAGTTGAAGTATTAAAATTACTAAACCTGATATAAAAATAAATGAAAGCTGTACAGAAATAAAAATATATAAATTATAGAAATTGAAACAAGTTTAAGCTGAAGTACTAAAATTACTAAACCTGAAATAAAAATAAATGAAAACTATACAGAAATATAAAATAAAAAACTCAAATAAACAATAAAATTAAAATAACATAAATGTTACCTTTGCAACTAACTGAAATAAATAAGTTTATGTTGAAGCACTATAATTACTAAAACTAAAACTGAATTTAAAATAAAAACTATAAAAAAAAATAATAATTTGAAATGTTGCCTTGGCAACTAACTGAAATAAAACAGGTTTAAGTACTAAAATGATTAAAATGAACTAAAATTAAAATAAATTAAAGCTATACAGAAAAAAAAAAAAAAAAAAACTAAAGCACCTAACAAAGTTACTAAAGTTTCAAATAAAATGAAAACCGAAAATATACAAATAAAAGCTCATTCAAAATATGAATCAATACTATAATATAAAAGCATAAACTTTTACTGACCTCGTCCATGGACTTCTTACAGTCATCATCGTCATCATCTTCATCTTCATCATCCTCAGCCTCCACCTCTGCAGGTGCTAAAGGACAAACACAGGATCAAATCAAACTTCAATCTAATCAAGTGTTGAGTTTCTCTGCAGCATCTCAAACTGCGCTGAAGAAAGGCAGAGCTGGTGTGAGATATAAGCAGAGCTCAGAGACAGACAGCTGACAGACATGATGAACTCGACCGACACACACTAATCAAAACTCTCTCATCATTTACTCTTCCTTGTGTGACTTCAAACCTGCATTACTTCCAAACAACAACGGTTTACAGTGACTGCATCAGTCTCCAAAAACTCCCCACTGTCATTTATGGGGTGATCGATTTTATTTGTGCATAAATATAAAGTATTTATTTCATTATTTATGTATCTTTAAATAAATAATAATTTAAAAAAATGTCATTCATGGGTGGTCTGTTTCATCTGTGCATATATATATATATATATATATATAGTGTATATAATAAATAATAAATAAATTAGACAATTGTCATTTTTGGGTGATCTGTTTAATTTGCACATAAATATAAATAATTTATTTAATTATTTTTTATCATTAAATATCAATAAATAAATCAAATAATTGTCCTTAATGGATTTGTGCATGTAATTATTCATTTATAATTAAACAAGTATCAATAAATAAATTAGATAATTGGCATTAATGGACAATCTATTTAATTAGTGCATAAATATAAATTATTTATTTTAAATATTTATTTATCAATTAATAAATATCAATAAATAAATTACATAATTGTCGTTTGTTGGTTGATCTATTTCATTTGTGCATACATATAAATTATTTGCGCATAACTTATTCAAATATAATTTTTTAACAGTATTATTATTATTATTATTTATAATAAATACATTTTATTTATTTAATTATTTATTTATCTATCTATCTATCAATACGTTCATCAAATATAGCATAAATGATATTTATTTGATTCTGCAAGCATCTGCACTCATTTCCTGATAAGTGCGCTCTCTTCACAGCAGTCATGGATCATGTGAAAGGGCTGTGATGATTTCCGGGCCTCTGTGGTGTTACAGGTGGATCCACACAGTCCTGCTGAGGAACCAGCTGTTCGACATCTGCTTTCTGCATCAGTGCTGTCTGGACTCAACCTTTCAGAGCCCTCGCATGCATCAGACGCTCCCGACGCCTCCGTCACACACAAACACAGGCTGAAATGTCAGCCGCTTGACTCTCCGCATGCTGTGACACACACAGAGCGGCTCACGGCCCTCAAAACCAGCAGAGACCGTCTGCTTCTGCTCTGCAATCGCTCTTTCTTTCGACTTGCTAAAGATAGACATGAGCACAATCCCCATAATAGCACTTTTGAAAGATTTCAATATACTCTGAAAACCGGCTGCCGCTTTTCGACAAATGTCAGATATCAATGGCAAAAAGTGCACTTGGATCAAAGTTATAATTTTGTTGTCTGTATTTTTACTCCCAAGGCATTTAAACTACCAGACAGTGAATTTACCAAACTAACTAGGCTCACAATTGTATATTTTGGAAATTTATATTGGAATTTATATTAAATTTATATATTGGATTTTGTAATTTTTATTTGTTTTATTACAGTATATTGCAGATTTGCAATTTAGAAATGTAATTTTCATTTATGATATTATATTTCTACAATTTAGAAATGTGATTTTAATTTATGATATTATATTTTTACAATTTAAAAATGTGATTTTAATTTATTATATAATACAGATTCATTTATTACATAATATATAGTTTATTTACAATTTAGAAATGCAATTTTAATTATTATAATATATTTTTACAATTCAGAAATTTAATTTTAATTTACTATATAATATGTGTCCCTGGAGCACAAAAGCAGTGTTAAGTCGCTGGGGTATATTTGTAGCAATAGCCAACAATACATTGTATGGGTCAAAATTATAAATTTTTCTTTTATGCCAAAAATCATTAGGATATTAAGTAAAGATCATCTTCCATGAAGATATTTTGTAAATTTCCTACCGTAAATATATCAAAACGTAATTTTTGATTAGTAATATGCATTACTAAGAACTTCATTTGAACAACTTTAAAGATGATTTTCTCAATATTTAGATTTTTTTTCACCCTCAGATTCCAGATTTTCAAATAGTTGTATCTCGGCCAAATATTGTCCTATCCTAACAAACCATACATCAATGGAAAGCTTATTTATTCAGCTTTCAGATTATGTACAAATCTCAATTTCGAGAAATTGACACTTAAGGCACTTTTGTGGTCCAGAGTCACATATTGTAAATTTAAAATTGGCAAAGGAAGTATATATATATATATTTATATAAATTATTTTTGATTTACTGACAATTTTATTTTTAATTTATCATATATTGTATATTTACAATTTAGAAACGCATACAAATTGAAACGATATTTAATTTACAATTTTCAAATTAAACTTGAATTATATTGTTATATTATATTACATTTACCATTTACAAATACAAATTTAATTTGAATTTGTCATATATTGTATATTTACAATTTATAACAAAAATAATTATAGCAAAACAGTACGGTATACTGTATCATTACAATTTATAAATTATACATAACATTTTCAATTTAGAAATTTAATTTTAATGTTTTTTTATTTATTATTTTATAATAAATTATGCATCCATCCATTCTCCAAACCGCTTATCCTATAGGGTCGAGGAATTATATGAAATTACATAATTTACAAATTAAATTTTATTACATTATATTGTTTATTTATAATTTACAAATTTCTAAAAATTTTATTTGAATTTGTCATACCTTGTATATTCACAACTTTCCAACAAATGTATACACATTTATATTTTATTTACAATTTAAAAATATTTTAATTTATTATATTACATTTTTACTTGTAATTTACTAATTTCTACAAATTTAAATAAATTATATTTTATTTACAATTAATAAATGCTAACAACAACAGCACTATGGTTTGTATATTTTCAAATTTCAAATGTCAGCCATGTAAATTAAAAATTACATTAATTATTTGAATAAATATTTAAAATAATTTTAATTTATTTAAATATGATTTAATGTAGCAATCATGCAGATCTGAGGGGGAAATATGAGCACTGTTCTAATACCTGCGGGTCCAGCGCTGGGAGAGGACGGCTCAAAGACGCTGGACGAGTCGCTGTTTGTGTTGGACGCCTGTTCGGACAGCTTCTTCTTAGTGCTGCCATCGGAGGGTTTAGGGTGAGATTTCTTGTTCTTGATGAGGATCTTTCCAATGAGCTCTCGAGGGCTTGGCAGAGGAACGCCTGGCTCGAGCTGAAGCGCCACAGCAGAATCTGTCATGAGAACACTGGACGCACGCGCCGCTAAAAGAGCACGGATGCATGTGGGAGAGATACACTTACAGGATATTTCTCCAGAGTCTCAGTCAAAAGAGCGTCCCCGAATATGGATCGGCAATATTCTGCCATTTTGGCTTGCTGTTTGGGGCTGCGATGCAACAGAAACACAATTAGAGCTGCCATCAGTGCACAAACAACGCTGAACCAAATTAGCGCCTGTAACGTTTGCTGTATAATCAGACAAAAATTAAATCTGCAGACCTTTTTCATTATATATTCAATGATTTAGGGGGAAATTTTGTAGAATTCCGCAGAATAGATTTAAATATAGCAATAAATAAAATGTAGTAAAATCATACTGCAAGCTGAAAGCATAATAAAAGAAAAGAAAAGAATATAACAGAATATAACAGAATAATATAATATAATATAATATAATATAATATAATATAATATAACAAAACAAAACAAAACAAAAATAAATAAAAAAAAAGTTAAAAATAAAATAAAATAAAATTACATAAAATAAAATTTTAAATCTTTATTTAGGGAGGGGTAGATTTTGTAGAATTCTGCAGAATATATTTAAATATGGTAATAAACAAAATGTACTGAAAACTTATTAAAAGCTGAAAGCATAATAAAAAAAAAATAAAAAAAATAATAACACAAAGCAAAAAATAAATAAATAAATAAAAAATAAAATAAGATTCTCTGATTTAGGGGGAAGTGTTGTAGAATTCTGCAGAATAGATTTAAATATGGCAATAACTAAAATGTCCTAAACTCTTATTGGAAGCTTTCTGCATAATGAAATAAAATCTAAATCTAAAATAAAGAATAATACAAAGAATAAGAATATAGATTAATCTAAAATAAAATCTACTAAACTCTTATTGGAAGCTGAAAACATAATTAAATAAATAAATAAATAACAATAAATAACAAAACAAAACAAAACAAAAAACAAAAAACAAAAAAAACAAAAAAATAAAATAATAAAGTTAAAAATAAAATAAAATAAAATTACATAAAATAAAATTTTAAATCTTTACTGATTTAGGGGTAGATTTTGTAGAATTCTGCAGAATATATTTAAATATGGTAATAAACAAAATGTACTGAAAACTTATTAAAAGCTGAAAGCATAATAAAAAATAAAAATAAAAATAATAACACAAAGCAAAAAATAAATAAATAAATAAAAAATAAAATAAGATTCTCTGATTTAGGGGAAAGTGTTGTAGAATTCTGCAGAATAGATTTAAATATGGCAATAACTAAAATGTCCTAAACTCTTATTGGAAGCTTTCTGCATAATGAAATAAAATCTAAATCTAAAATAAAGAATAATACAAAGAATAAGAATATAGATTAATCTAAAATAAAATCTACTAAACTCTTATTGGAAGCTGAAAACATAATTAAATAAATAAATAAATAACAATAAAATAAAATAAAATAAAATAAAATAAAATAAAATAAAATAAAATAAAATAAAATCATATTATCTGATTTAGGGGGAAGTTTTGTAGAATTCTGCAGAATAGATTTAAATATTCCTTATTTGGTTCAAAATGTAATAATAATAATAATAAAATTATTATTATTAATTTTTTTCTTATTGTTATTTTAATAAATTTATGTATTTCTATTTTTATTAATGTTATTAGTAGTAGTACTGTTATTTTATACACATACTGATATATAAACCCAGTATGAACAACAGTAATATATTACATTTTGTTTACTATTTATTATTATTATTATTATTGTATTGTTAACTTTATTATTAGTAGTAGTCCTGTAATTTATAATTCATTCTGATATATAATCCTAATACGTTTTTTTTTAGGCAAAATTTTGCAGCCCAACATACAAACACAGCAAACTTGGATCTCTAAATTAATGAATAGATAAACTAATATATTAATGTACAAATAAATAAATAAAAATCACATTCACAATCTTAATCTGAAAAAAAAAAACACTTACATTTCCCCCCAAATCATTCAGCCGTACTATAAAGCAGGGAAAGAGCGTCTGTTGTGCTCAATGGAAGAAAATGACAGCATACGTGCTTGAGAGCGATTGCGAATGAATAAAGCCTGTTTTGATTAATTGCAGGCGTTTGTCTGGGACAGACCTTTCTGAATCATGGCTGGGTTGGGCTCAAACTTCTCCATGAGCAGCTGGGTTTGTTCGGGCTTGAGCGGCGGGTACAGGATCTCGTTCAGACGCGGGTCCCGCTGCTTGTTGTTGATGAATTCTGTCATCTGATCCACCGTCAGATAGTTTCTGCTCTTCACGCCGCTGGAGAGAGGAAGAGAGATCCAGGAAAGAGCATACGGTTTACAGTGATAATCATAACACAGAGATGAGCAACTACATCATCCCAGCATGCAAATTACACAATGACTTTCAGCAAGGCGGATTTTTTTAAAGGAATGTCTCTGTTATGATCAATACCAATTATCTTTCATCAGGATTTTTTTAATTGTTACACCCCTAAATAATTACAATACTGCAATGCGCTCATCTCATAAATATCATTCCAATATGACTTCAAGGCATCATTAACTACTATATATGGAGTAATATATATATATATATAAATAAATACATAAAATGAGAAATGAAAAATTTGAAAAATAGATCAACTTAAATAAATGCATACAAACAGGAAAAAAATATAAAAAACTTAAATTAACATAAAAGTATACATAAACAAAAGATAAACAGAAAAATTAAGCAAATAAATAAGTAAATAGAAAAAAAACAGGAAAAACAAACGAACAAATAAATAAATAAAAGATAAATAAACAGAAAAATTAAGCAAATAAATAAGTAAATAGAAAAAAAACAGGAAAAACAAACGAACAAATAAATAAATAAAAGATAAATAAACAGAAAAATTAGACAGATAAATAAATAGATAGATAAAAACAGAAAAAAACAGATAAAACCAATGTATAAATAAACAAAAAACATTAAAAAGAACATAACAATATTCAGAATTTAAAAATTAAATAGAAAAATCAGACAAAAAAACAGGTAAATCGATAAAATAAATAAATAAATAAATATACGTAAACAAACAAACAAACAGATGAAATAAACAGATAAATGTGCAAATAAATAAAATATCAATAAATAAATAAAAATTAGTCAAATAAATAAATAGATAAAAAAGAAAAAAAAAACAGATAAACACATAATGTATAATTAAATTAAAAAAAATAAATAATAATAAACAGATAAATAAATGTATAAATAAATAAATACATTTAAAAAATTAGACAAATAAATACATGGATGAAAACAGAAAAAACAGATACATACATACAACAATGTATAAATAATTAAATGTATAAATAAATAAAACCAGATAAATAAAAGCAAAAAAAATTGTAAAAGTATAATAAATAAAGGATAAATCAATTTAAAAATTAGAAAAATAAAGAAATAGATAAAAACATATAAATCATAAAAACACATAAATAGATACAAATAATACATAAATGCATAAATAA